GATTTTTCGACGTTTTGGAACATTCTAAACACATTGGCATAGAAAACTCGAAAAAAAATTTTGTCACGAAAACAAAGTTTCCTCTATGAGGAAGCAAAATCACTGTATTTATTAAAAGTATTTAATGACAAACTTAGATAAAAATCTAAGATAAGATTTTATGTCTTATCTTATATTTATTTAGATGATTTCAATATTAGCTATGCAAAACACTGTCTACAACATACAAAAAAAAATGATAATGTGTTCGAATTTAATTAATCAACCTCATTTCCTTTTTTCGGAATCCAAGCAGTCGGGATAAAAGCAACGAGGTACTTGTAATGCATCCGACGTACATACGGACGATACAAGTCCCAATCATATTAAAGAATCACTAAGCACTATACTCAGTGTGAAACTATAAAGAATAGACCTAAAGTGTGTTGCGTAGCTTGTGCGCGCGTGATATTTTTTATTATTTTCACTACCGAATGTGATTTTTCCAGTTTTGTGCAATTTCTCTATTAGTAACATATTAATTTATTTAATTATTTAATGGAAAAGTCTATAGGTAAATATATATTATTTTAGTTGTTATAGTTTTCCCTTAATTATTTTTTTTTAAAGCAATGTTATCTTAATATCATGTAAATGAAAAGCTTTATAATTTCATTTATTATCTAGATAAACTTGAAATAAATCATCTTTATCTTAGATAAAAATCTAAGATAAGATTTTATGTCTTATCTTATATTTATTTAGATGATTTCAATATTAGCTATGCAAAACACTGTCTACAACATACAAAAAAAATGATAATGTTCGAATTTAATTAATCAACCTCATTTCCTTTTTTCGGAATTCAAGCAGTCGGGATAAAAGCAACGAGGTACTTGTAATGCATCCGACGTAAATACGGACGATACAAGTCTGGCGTTTAATCAGTCAAGCTTTATTTAGAAATTACAGTATTGTTGTTGGCTATGACGTCCCTTCGCTCGCGAAGAGAGATTAAACCGGCCGTTCGAAAGGATTAAGCGTGATAAAGGGGTCCATTACGTCGGAGCCGACAAAGTCGTCCCGCATTCTCGCGATATATATCGCGAAAAGACGATGAAAACCGTCGGCTTTTTCTTCTCTTTTTTTTTTTTTTACACACCCGCGACGGAAAGCATTGCTACAGATAACACAACTGGGGATTGCGCATCCGCTTGAACTCGACTCCGGACGAAGGTCGATCGCTTTAAAGGCCCGCTTCGACGGCTGCTTTAAGAACAATCCCGTGTTTTACGAGTAAGGAGCTTTAGCCCGCTCT